GGCTTCCCTTTATACATGAGCTGACCTTTCTCTCTAGCTGTGCTTAACATTGTTTTTTTCATTTCAATCTTGGAGACTGTGGTCATTATATGTCTTGGGGATGATCTTGTGGAGTATCTTTTTTTTTTTTTTTTTTTTTTTGAGGTGAAATTTTGCTCTTACTGCCGAGGCTGGAGTGCAATAGTGTGATCTCAGCTCACTGCAACCTCTGCATCCCGGGTTCAAGTGATTTTCCTGCCTTAGCCTCCCAAGCACCTGGGATTACAGGTGTATGCCACCATGCCAAGCTAATTTTGTATTTGGAGTAGAGGTGGAGTTTCACCATGTTGGTCAGGCTGGTCTCAAACTCCCAGCCTCAGGTGATCCACCTGCCTCTGCCTCTGAAAGTGCTGGGATTATAGGCATGAGCCACCATGCTCAGCCTCTTATAGAGTGTCTTACTAGGATTCTCTGCATGTCCTGAATTTGAAAGTGGCCCGGCCCCTTTACCTAGGTTGGGGAACTTCTCATGGATGTTATCCTGATCATATATTTTCCAAATTGGCTGCATTTTCCCCATTTCTTTTAGGTACACCAATCAGTCATATTTGGTGTCTTTACATAATCCTGTATTTCTCGGGGGTTTTGTTCATTCCTTTTCATTCTTTTTTCTCTATTCTTGTCTTGCCTGTCTTATATCAGAAAGACAGTCTTCAAACTCTGAGATCCTTCGCTTGGTCTGTTCTGTTATTAATACTTGTGATTGCATTATGAAATTCTTGTATTATGTTTTCCAGCTCTGTCAGGTTGTTTCTTTATACTGGCTGTTTGGTTGATCAGCCCCTGCAATGTTTTATCATGATTTTAGCCTACTTGCATTGGGTTACAGCGTGCTCCATTAGCTCAGTGAAATTTGCTTTTACCCATATTCTGAATTCTACTTCTGTCATTTCAGGCATCTCATCTTCAGCCCAGTTCTGAACCCACCTGCTGGAGAGGTGATGCAGTCATTTGGAAGAAAGATACTCTGGCTTTTTGAGTTTTCAGTGTTTGCACTGATTCTTTCTCATCTTTGTGGATTTATCTACCTTCACTCTTTGAGGTTGCTGACGTTTGGACTTTTTTTTTTTTTTTAGTTTGTTTGTTTCTTTTAATAGTCTGGCCAGTTTTCCATAGGGCTGCTGCAGTTTTCTGGGGGTCCACTCCAGTCCCTAGTTACCTTGAATTTTCCAGTACCTTGGAGGCATCACCAATGAAGGCTGCGAAACAGCAAAGATGGCAGATGGAGCCTTCCTCTGGGAGCTCCTTCTCAGGGAGGTACACACCTGTTGCTGGCCTGAATACACTTGTAGGAGGGGGCTAGAGACCCCAGTTAAGAGGTCTCACTCAGGAGGAACAGGATCAGAGACCTGCTTAAAGAAGCACTCTGGCTATGCTTTCACAGAGCAGTTGTGCTATGCTGGGATTCCCCTTCCACCCCTGGTCAACTTGGACTCTCCAAAGCCTGGAGACTGGAATGATTTTGTCACCCAAACAGAAAAGATGGCTGCCTACCTCTCCCTCTAGGAGCTCTGTCTCAGGAAGTTCTCAAATGTCTGTCAGCCTGAGAACATGGGCAGGGGTGGTTAGAGGCCCCAGTTGGGAGGTCCTGCCCAGTGGGGAGGAACAGATTGGGAGCCCACTTAAAGAAGCAGCCTGGCCACATTTTGGTAGAACAACTGTGTTGCACTGGGGGATCCCTTTTGTCCCTAGTTGGTTTGGACTCTCCAGAGCTCACAGGCTGGAACTGCTGAATTATCCAAACAGCAAAGATGGCAGCCCTTCCCCTCCCGCTAGGAACTCTGTCTTAGGTAGGGGCGATACTGTTGCCAGTGGTTGGCTGGAATTCCAAGCCAGTGGGTCTTATCCTGTCAGGCACTTTGAAAGTGGGGCCTGTGGACCATCACTGCTCAGGCCCCTCAATTCAGCCCTCTTCCCAGTGGTATGTACAGAGGTCCAACCTCCCACCTTGACTTCCCTGCAGTCACTCTTGCTGGGAAGCCCAGAGCCTAAGTACGTAAAGCTCCTGCACCTCCACTCATGCCTGAGCAGCTGCTCTGCCAGGAATCCACACAGCTCTGTGTGTCAGACTGAAGGCCCAGATGGAGTGGGTTTAGGAGGAGATCTCCTGACTTGGGGGTTGCAAAGATCTGCGGGAGAAGCATGGTTTCCCAGGGGCACACATTCACTCACCGCTTCCCTTGGTGGGGAGGTTCCCCTGGCTCCATGTCACTCCGGGCTAGGCTGTTTTTCTGTCTTGCTTTTCTTCATTCTCCAGAGGTCATATTCTTTCCTTGATTAGTCCCAATGTGAGTACCTGGATGCTTCAGTTGAAGGTGCTGTATTTACTCACCCCTTTGGTTCCTCTCCATGAAAGTCATGTACCCTAGCTGCTTCTAATCGGCCATCTTGGCCTGAATCTAAGTAACTTTAATTTTGACCATAAAGAGGTAATTGAAAAATTCCCAATGTCACTTATTTCCTTGAATACACAGAGGAATTGTGGTATTGCTAAACTGGATTTTCTAATACAGATCAAAATCTTGATAGAAAAAGTATTTTTCAAAAGAAATATTCATTCAATAATTTTTAAAGTACCTACTCTGTTGAAGCATTTAAAAGAGTAAATACCTCAAAAGAGTAGGTACTTAAAATAACAGAAAAATAAATTTCCCATGGATACCTCCTGCCCTTGACAACCTTATGGCCTAACAACCATCTGGGGTGTGATGGGGAGGAACTGTAATCTCAGCTACTCAGGAGGCTGAGGCAGGAGAATCACTTGAAGTTGTGGTGACCTGAGATTATACCACTGCACTACAGCCTGGGAAACAGAGTGAGTGAGAGAGAGGAACAGAGAGAGAGAGAGAGGAACAGGGAGAGAGAGACAGGAACAGAGAGAGAGAGAGAAGAAGTAGAAGGAGGAGGAGAAGGAAGAAGAGGAGGAGGAGGAGGAGGGGGAGGAGGAGGAGGAAGAAAGAAGAAGAAAAAAGGAGGGAGGGAGGGAGGGAAAAGGGTAAAAGTTCAGAAACAGGAGTAGAGAATGGAGAACACTGAAACTGTGTTGGAGATACATGTAAGGGTTAAGTGCAAGAGAGAACAGAGCAGGGGGAAATGACTGATCCCAAGTCCACAGTTGAATGTTACTGTTTCCACCCCCATAGACCATTCAGTGCTGGGCTTTTTATGAAGACAGGTCCTGGTGCCATTACAGATGATCTTCAGTTTACAATGAGGTTATGTCCCCATAAGCCTATCATATATTGAAAATAGCATTATGTAGAAAATAAGTTTAATACACCTAGACTACTGAACATCATAGCTTAGCCTAACCTACTTTAAATGTGTTCAGAACACTTACATTAGCCTACAGTTGGGCAAAATTATCTAACACAAAGCCTATTTTATAATAAAGTTTTTAATAACATATAATTCATTAAATAAGTAATGCAATGAAAAACAGAATGGTTTCACACCATGATAAAGTCGAAAATCCCAAGTCAAGCTATTATAAGTCAGTAATAGTCTTTGCCTAGATAAAGAAGGCCGGCCGTCAGAGCTGGTCACAAGAGAGGGTGGCTGTTGAATGGATAGAGCTAAGATTTTAGAGCCAGTTCAGCCAGGATTTAATTCCCAGTCACTACTTATATGGCATTAGGAAAGTTTCTTAATCTCTCTGAGCCTCAGTTTCCAAATCTTTAAAATGGGATCAATAATTCTTATTTTTCTCACATGTAGTTACAGTCACACCTAACCCAGCTTCCTCTTTCTGGTTTAATGTTCTTTGCATGTTGTTCATAAACTTTGAAAGACTGCTTAGTTGAGCACAGATGGTTTTTAGAACCAGATACAGGGTCAGATCCAAATTCAAATACAAACATTACTACTTAATGTGTAAACTTGGGAAGTCATTTTATTTCTGTTTCTTCAATTTTGTAGTGAAGAGTGAATCATCTAAAATGATAAAACAGTGGCCTTCAAGATCATATTCCTCACAGTATGTTTGCTCACAGTTTCCTATACAACATTGTAGGCCAAGCAGGTATTATTGTTCTTTTGTTTTTTGAGTCTTGTTTTTAAAAGGTTTATTGAATAATAGTAATAACAGACTTATGTGCCAGGCTCCAAGGTAAGCATTTATGTATATTATCTCATATAATTTTCACAACAACCCCAAAGTGTAGATACTTCTATAATTTCATTTTATAGATGGGAAACCTGATGCTCAGGAAATTAAATAACTTGCTCCAGGTGACACAGCCAATATGTGATGAAGTTGAAAATCTGACTTTGGAATCATTCTCATAAGCACTATACTATACTGTCTTCCATGTGATTCTGATAACTTCCCTAGAGGCAGTTGCCCCACTCCCTTCCCATTGCTATAAAGCATCTAGCACAGTACCCAGTTCCGAACAGCCACTAACAAATGTGGGTTCTCCCTCTGCAGCCCATCTCCCAAGTGTTAGAACTAAGGCCTGATGACACTTACCAACCATTGAGTAGCTGCTTGCTGGAGCAAATCAGAAAAGAAATCTCTGTAAATGAAAATTTTTTCTAAGTCCCCTCCTTTATAAATTGAGCAATAACTAATACAGATTTTGAGAATAATATGATTTTGATATTGCCTTGAAGTTTACTGCGTTTTGGTTTGGCTTGTAGGCCATAAATATACCCAGGCAAATTTAGATAATTAGGAGGTATGATTTTAAAGATATGAAGCCGTCCCCTCTTTATCTTCTCTATACTATTATATTCTTTTCACCACCAAACATATGTTTGTGTGTTTATTTTCTGTAACCCCTTCAGAAGTACATATGCTACAGTAGAGGAGGGACTTAATCTGTTTTATTCCCTGCTGTATCTCCAGTACCTAAAATAATATAGAGTAGGTACTCAAAAATTTTGTTTTATCCATGAATGGTTAAAATGTTTGTGCAAATTATGGAAAACTGACATTTAAATATTATTTTTCTTTCTAGCTTGGATAAGAAGAACAAGAAAGACTCCACCTACTATGAAGGTAAGACTACACAAGAAAAATATCTCTTAGGAGTGTGTATTCCCAAGGATATATGAACCTTCAGAAAATGTATTATGTGTTCTCCCAAAGCGTTGATTTTATTCCATAGAAAATAACTTAAAACATTTTTATAATAAAGTAATATATAAACATATCACTAATTAATATATGATAAAATAAGTGCTCATATTATGGAATACAACAAAATTTACATAAAATTTAAAATTAAATAATAAAAATTTAAAACAAAAATAAAAACATTTTTAGAAAGTCTGGATTTGGAACAGTTTGCACCAGGTTGTTTCCCCTGGGTCTTGGGAGTTCTCTCTGCCAGTACTGAGGCTTTTGTAGAAAAGTTTGAGAAACACTGAATCTCTTTGTCCTATCCAAATCATGCTCTTATGTTTCCCTTAATTTTATATATTTAAATCCTTCAAGTATCCAAAGAAACTTTAAAATACAGAATTAGCAAGTATTTTATAATACTCAGTAATTAGTAGTTGAGTTGAATTTTCATTTAAAACTTAAAAGTTTATAGGTCGTGATAAACCATAAAAAGCATAGAAATGCTATGGTATATGTGTTTTACAACATGATTTTAATATAGATTATTTTATTAAAATTATAATTTTAATTTTAAAAATACATAAAGAGCTCTAAAATTATTTTATAAGAAGTTATTTCATAAAAGGAGAGTCTGCAAATGCATTAGTATACTCTCTTGTTTACTTTTTGTCTAGAGGCATTCCCTTCATTTTACTATTTATGACTTCTCTCCTCTTTTCTGTTGCCTATTCCCTCACTACTACAAACTCTGATGACAACATAAATGGGCTCCAGTACTCAATCCCCATTTGTTGGAAGGTGGGTGCTCTAGAGCAGAATCATGATGATACCTTAACTGGCATGTTTATCTTTACTTGCTCCATTCATTAGTCATATACCAAACCCATCAATGTTCATTCAGCCAGGTTCTGACTGAGTATATCTCTTGACCCATTGCTTACCTCATATATTGCTTCTGCCTTGTCCTACTTTTCTCAGACCCTTCTTTCCAACATTGATAAATTTTGGAATAAAAGCTGTTTTTTGGGGGGAAAAAGGGCAATGTGATCCAGGATTCAGAAGTATGCCCAGTAGTTTATAGTGAAGGATGGATTGAAGAGCCTTCTTATTCTCCTTCTCTTGGTCATAGTAAGTGCTACTGTTAAGGTGCTTCCTCCATCCTTAGAACTTTGAAAGCCTTCTTCATAGAAACATAAATATGCAAAGTGATTAGTGGAGGCAATTGCAAGAGCTGGGCCTCAGGCACCACCTCTGTGAATTTTAGGTTATTTCAGCACCTCAAACAAGCTCTAGTTGGAACACACCAAGTCCTTCTATCCCTGAGCTCACTCTTGTTACTTTTGATTATCCAAAATGAGCCCTCTTTTGTTGCCTCCCTTTTAGTGTACTATTAATCACTTTGTTCTTTATGCTGCTTTGTACCCTCCCTAACACACACACACACACACACACACACACACTTACACACTTTTCCTTCCTCTTGACCCTTTCCATTGTGTTTCAGGAATTTCTGTCTCTTTGTTAGCAAATTACCATTCACCATTAATATTTTCCTGGAAACTTTCTCTACCACATAACCTCAACTGAAATCTGCCTGTGCCTGAGAGATAGTGAGTTCCTTTTTTCCTTGAAGGAAGTTGTGCTTGCTTTCCCACGTCTCACAGAAAGAAAGTGAGTCCAACTGCTTCTTGCTTCCCCAAATAGTCTTTTGTTTGTGGGCCCAAGAGAGTGGAGGACTTTTGTTATCCATGTAACATGCTATCCATGTATATTTCTCTGTACCTGATCATCATTTTTATGTGTGCCAGCATGCAAGCCACCATACTGACGGCCGAGATTAGAACCTGGCATAAGGTCTTCTCTTTTCAATCCCTTCCTAAGTCTTAGCTGCCCAATTCTTTGACTTTATCTACACTAGTACCTCTAACTCAAGTGAACAACCACTTCGTTAGGCACATTTTAGTTTTTATCAAACACAACTCTTACCACTGTAACTTTTACACTCTTCAAGTCCAAATTCTAGATACATCATATTAAGAGGAAAAAGATTCTCTTAATGTAAAGTAAGACATATTTTTAAATGTAAAGTAAAGCTTATTTCGTTGCTAAGCTGTGAAATTATAAGGCAAATTCCACGGATTTCAAGAAATAGAACTTTGCCATCTATTTCAGAACCATATATCCCATCCCGATCACAAGCCCCTCTCTCCTGACAAAAGCAAACCTTAACTCAACTTTTATGGTAATAATTTCCTCTCATTTTAAATAGTTTTTTCACCTAATGTACATTATAGTTTAGACTTGTCCATTTTGTAAAAACTTCATATTTGTTTTAAATCTTCAGTCTATCCTCTTCCATCCCTTTTATTTCCTTACAGATTTATGTGTTAAAAAAAACCCAGCCCAGTTGGCCTGTAGAGTTTGCCACAGTCTAGGTTTTGCTGATCTTATGTTCCTGGTGCATTTCATCATGTTTCTCTGTCCACTATCTTCCTTACAAATTGAAAACTGGATCCAGAAACTAGATGTGTTCTTTCAGATCTTTAAGTGAATACCCAACCCCAAATAGACTTCCTTCCATATCTCCTGTACATTACAACTAAAGGTTAAACAACAGCCATTAGAATGCCATTTATAGTAGTATCAGAAAACATAGAATACTATGGAATTAAGTAAGCAAAATACGTGCATAAGACCTAAATAAATAAGGAGAAGTATCTGTTCATGGATTGGAATGTACAATATTGCTAACGTATTCATTCTTCTCAAACTGATCCACATTAGTACTTATGCTTCATTTTGCATCCACATCACCTGAAAGACTTGTTAAAACTCAGATTGCTAGACCCCAAGCTTAGAGTTTTAGATCCACTAGTTCTGGGGTAGGACCTAAATATTTGCATTTATAACGTGTTCTTGGATGATGCTGATGCTGGTGGTTCATAGCTCACATTTTGGGAACCACTGATTTATAGATTTAATAAAATAAATATCCAGTTAAAACCACATCAGACTTTTTGGGCAGAAATCAACATGCTGATTTGAAAATGTACTTGGAAATGTAAAAGACCTGGAGTAGCTGAAAGCAGCCATGAAAAAGGAGATGAAAATTAAAGGGCTAATATTGTCTGACTTTAAGAATTACTTTAGAACTATAGTTATCAAGACAATGTGATACTGCCATTAGGGTACTGGATAAATAAATCAATGGAAAATAACAGAAGTCCAAAAATAGATACTATACAGGCAGTTGGTTTTTAGTAGTGATGTCAAAACAACATAATCAGGAATGGAAAGTCTTTAGCAAATGGTTCTGGAATAACTTAATATCCATATGGGGAAAATGAATTGATCCCTACCTCACACTGTACACAAATATTAATTCATGATAGATCATAGACTAGACATAAAAGCCAAACTATTGTGCTTCTTGAAGAAAAAACAATGGACTATCTGCAGTTTTGAGGTAGACAAGAGACACAACAATCCATAAAGGAAAAATACAGATTAATCAGATTTAATTAGATTTAAGATCTAATGCTTGTTACAAGAGAACATTAGGAAAGCAAAAGACTAGGAGAAAATTATCATAGTACATATATTTGACAAAGGAATTATATCCAGGCTATATAAAGAATACCTCAACTCAGTGTTAATAAAAAAGAAGCTAGGCTGGGCACGGTGGCTGATGCCTATAATCCCAGCACTTTGGGAGGCGGAGGTGGGTGGATCACAAGGTCGGGAGTTCAAGCCTAGCAAAGGTGGCGAAACCTCGTCTCTACTAAAAATACAAAACTTAACCAGGTGTGGTGGTGGGTGCCTGTAATCCAAACTACTCGGGAGGCTGAAGCAGAGAATTGCTTGACCCAGGAGGTGGAGGTTGCAGTGAGCACCACCACTGCACTCCAGCCTGGGTGACAGAGTGAGACTCCATCAAAAAAAAAGCAGCTAATAAATATTGGGCAGAAACCTTGAACAACCACTCTGTAAGATATGTTTTAGGTATATGAAAAGATACTTAATAATACTTGTAATCATTGGAACCACAATGAGATACCACTACACACCCTTTAAAATGGCTTATATTTAAAAGATTGACAACTTTTGTACGGTGCTGGTTAGGGTGAAAATGATACACTCATGTTTGAAAACTGACAGTTTGTTATAGTATAAAACACACCTGCTCTATGATTAAACAGTAATTCTCCTGGCCACCTTGAAAACTGAAGGGATCAATTTTTAGTCATACTTTCTGGAGAGTTCTGGCCAACAATCTATCTCCTTGGCATACTATGCTAGGCTTCCTGATTTGGGCCCAGCCCAACTTTCTTTTTTTTTTTTTAATTTTATTTTACTTTAGGTTCTGGGGTACATGTGCAGATCATGCAGGGTTGTTGCATAGGTGCATATTATATGCAGCATTTCTCCCCATGTTATCCCTCCCCACCCTTCCCACCCCTCTCTGTCCCTCCCCTAGCCCCCAGCCAACTACCCCCAGTGTGTGATGCTCCTCTCCCTGAGTCCACGTGTTCTCATTGTTCAACACCCACCTATGAGTGAGAACATGTGGTGTTTGGTTTTCTGTTCTTGTGTCAGTTTGCTGAGAATAATAGTTTCCAGATTCATCTAAGTCCCTACAAAGGACACAGACTCGTTGTTTTTTATGGCTGCATAGTATTCCATGGTGTATATGTGCCACATTTTCTTTGTCCACTCTATCATTGATGGGCATTTGGGTTAGTTCCAGGCCTTTGCTATTGTAAACAGGCTGCAATGAACATACATGTGCATGTGTCTTTATAGTGGAACGATTTGTAGTTCTTTGGGCATATACCCAGTAATGGGATTGCTGGGTCAAATGGAATTTCTATTTCTAGATCATTGAGGAATCACCACACTGTCTTCCACAATGGTTGAACTAATTTATACTCCCA